CACTTGCCCCAACAGTCTGTTAAGGCTATGCGGGGGATCTTTGTGTTTGTATGCACAGGATTAGCGAAATACAATTGCTAGGAACAGAATCAGAACCAACAGATGGAGCGAGCCCCTGGTCCTCATATTCATTCGTGACTCTGTTTGGAAATTCCTCATGACTATGAGGGGATCCGGTGTCTCAAAGCGCATCGCAAACAATTTTCGATTTACATGACTTCTTACCTAAAAAAAACATTTTAAAGGGAACCCTCGGTGGCAGTTGTCCCTTTGGGCAGACGGTGACTCAGCACCTGGCCCGCAATGGAACATTTAGACTGCCATTGCTACGTGCAATCCAAAATTTAGAGTAATTTGCAGGAAATCTCATTAGGAAATAATTGGACGCGTGACGCTTGCATGAATTGATCTACTTGTTTCAAACGACGTCACCGGATCTGTGAACAGCCACTGTGAACGCTGGATGCGTTCACAGTTTCACGGTTCACGAACCCGCAGCATTAAGCAGGGCTGACTTCCAGGGTCGAACCGCGAACCCTCTACAGCAAAGGCAGCGAATGTGCTCCCACTGGGTCGTGCCACTTCCTCCGCGGAAGAAAAAAATGCATCGGAAGCTTACAACATTGTGGCAGTAATTCATTAATACACTCCTTAGGCAAGGTCAATAGGTAAAGGTATAATTATTGGCAAATTAAAATTAAATCCAAACAATTAAGGCCGTCATGCATTTCCGAATCGTGCAAATCACGTATCTGTAAACTTGTTTTTTTTTACACAGGCCCCAAAGGTTCAAATAGTAAATATCCAGCAACAAACGGCACAATACAAGCCATAAATAACACTTATCGCATTCATTGAATTTAGCAAGGCTATATCATAATCACAGCCTACTCATGCCATGAAAACGACAACAAATATTGATGCCTTGTAGCAAGACGGCAATTAATAAATAAACCCAAAAAAAATGTAAAGTAACCCAAGGTAATGGTTCGACAAAGACAAACGAGGCTGGTGATATTGGTGTTGCAGTCGCGGTATGAGGACCAATCAGAAGTCTTCTCTGCTGCTGGCATCAGAACACTTGTGGTCAGGGGCTCTGGGACAAGTGCGTTCTGGTAGCGCTGTTTAGGGCTGAACGATTAATCGATTTCAAATCTAAATCGCAATTTGTAACAATGCGATTAGCAAATCGCAAAGGCTGCGATTTTTTTTTGCGATTAAAAAAGTCCTATTACTTTCTTACTGGCATCGTTTCATTTGTTATCGGTATAACGTTATTTCTTTAACTGAAAAATCGTTCTATGTTTGATTGTTCTATTTCAATGAAAACATTTTAATAAATACATGTTGGAAGCAATTAATGTATTTTAAGTTCTCATCCTTGCATTCGAATATATCGAGCAGTTCATATTTTGATGGTATCATGTGGTAACGCTCCATCACATGTTTTAAATCTATTACGCAGTGAATATTGAACTGAAGCTTGACTTTAAAAAAATGTTAATCGCAATATCTGTCAGAAAAATCGCAATTAGATATTTTCCCCAAATCGTTCGGCCCTAGAGCTGTGTTCTTCATTGCAAGGCCCTAGGGCCACGGGCGGCCCCTGGTGGCCTTTAGTGTGGCCCCTCACGTGCAGCCCCTGACAATACACAAAAGTGAAAACAACCCCCATCATCATCATCGTGCTGTGCTGTCAAACCCCAATGGTTTCAAATGTGTGGCTGGTCCTCACACTGATGCCTTATCTGCGAAAGTAGCCCCCCTCTTAAATTGTGTGAGAAACACTGGTATAGGGTGTAGCTGCTTTGGGGAAATTGTCTGTCTTATTGACGCTAACAAACGTTCTCTGAAAAATAACCTTTGTCTGGTAACGAAAACACCGCCATGGACCGATAACGAATTAAATTGGCCTTGTTGAATATCGCTATAAAATCTAGCTGCCATTGTCTTCAATTTGCCAACACGTTGGTATTATGGTTCGATCGGCTCCAGGTTAGTCTAAGCACTGTTGTGTGTGTAACAAGAACACGTTTCAAACCTACGTGGAACAGCGTGCGTGCAAGGTTTTTTATGCAACTGAATTTCTCATATTCTCGGTTCTTTCGGTAAAGTCACGTAGAAGGGAAACAATGAAATTAAACAAATATAAAACAAAAAAATCCTCACGACGTTTTTTATTATTTTATTGTTTCCCAAGACTATGAATCCCTGCAGTCACGAAAGCTTTAAATCAAAATTATAACTTCTAATATTAGAAAAAACATGGATGGAAACGTTGTTGCAAGCAACGTCTTTGCACCAATATTCCACGGCTTAGCTGAAGCTAAAGCATTTGAAAGCAAAACGCATTTGTGTATTTACGTACTTATTCACGTCATATTATATCCAGGTACGACATTTGATTTGTCCGTGTGAAATTAAGTAGATTATAACATACTAAGACACACGTACAGGGCATGGCATTTTCACGGAATGTTTGGGGAAGTGGATCGAAAAAAGATAACACTTGACGTTATTGAGAAATCATAAACGATTTGGCCATTGGCAGTCGTGTACAATCATACGGCATAACTGGGGTGTTCGGTAGATGTCACCGTTTATTACAGTTTATTGGAAAAGTGTGTTGTCTTTTTTTGATTGACAGTTTAAATTTGAAAAAATTGCACCGCGTTCGACATAAATAACCTTGGAATAGAATCATGAATGAGTCAATATGCCAAATTTGACATGTTTAGGTCAACACATTCCCAGGACGTTACATGAAAAAATCTACATCTTTCTACCGTGTAACCAGACTCTTTGCTTAAAGTCTAAATTACCTAACCGGAGCAAGAGTGAAAAGACCGTAAAATCTCGTGATTTAGTGTTTGAGTTGAACATGCTTAACGCAGATATAGGGAAACACATCAATGCCTAAACAGAATTGGCAGCAACCATTTTTTATTTTACTCATTAATGGTAGAAAATTAATAGTTCAAAGCTGCCAATCAGAAAATTGTCCCTGGTAATACATTTGTTTAAAAGTTATCTTGCATGAAGGCCGGTCATCCATGTACAGTAACCCAAATTTCTGTAATGTTTTGATGGCTTGATTCATCCTTTATGCATGTATGTTGAACTTCTTTCACACCGTACGTGGCCAACAGTGCGAATCGGAGGTGCGGGGGAAGGACAACAAACTGAACACAAAAAGCAGTTCTAAAGAAAAGAGTTTTCCATCTAGACTTAAAAGTGCATAGCTCCGGTCGCTTGAGTTTGAAACGAACTGCAAATTAAACCCAATTAACATAAACTAACTGACAATGTTCAATGTTCTATGTACTTTAAATCTTCACTTTTCTATGAGTCCCGGTTACACTTTTCCACTCAATACAAATCCTTTTTTTTATTTTGCCGGCCCTGCATTACTCCCCTGACTTAAACGCACTGGGAATGTTCAGCTGCTCTTATTGGAATGCCTGTCCCGCGTGGACGTGCCATTAAAGTGTAAAGCCGCATTAATACTGCATGCTTTGAGTTAACGGTGGAGTGCTTTTAAGAGTTGTTACATTTAGGTTTCATATGCGCTTTTTTTTATTAAACCGTCCATTTATCTTATGTATTTATTCGCTTGCTGACTTAGTGAATCAGTCAATCCTTATTTTTACGTGCCAATATCGCCCTCGATCATGTAAGCATCAGCGTCGTTATTTATTGCACGGACTGTTCTGGATGACCACGGTCGCACACTGGAGAGTTTTTTTTTATTGTCCATATGTGCACCATCAGGTATCCGCATCTGCCATGGTGTGTGCGGATGCGGTTTAAGGTGGATTCACATTGAGCAATCATCGGAAGGATGTTATTAACCAAGTTAAACTTTAGCTGCCTTATAGTTTATATTTATATCCGCATCTCCAGTCTTTAACTCCCAGCCCTGCTCACTCCCATCACTTGGAAATTTGCCGTGCAGTGCTTCGAGCCTGCAGAGTTCTCCCCCAACCCCAGCCCCTCCCGTGTCACAGCAGTAGGCCGAGCTTTTGGACCATCCTCACCGCTCTCATCCGACCCACGCCTCGCCCCCACACACTCACCCTGGCTCCTCCCCTCCCCCTCAGCTATATAATCCCTTGTCAAAGTCATCTCTGTGGCATACTTCAGCGATTGTATTTTTCGCTGTGGTTTGTCCCCACCTGATGACGGACGCTTGTGTTGCGCCCAAAACGTCGTGATTTAATTTAGTTGTTTTCATTTTTGTTTTATTTTATTAAATGTGTACCTACGTGACTTTACCGAAAGAACCAAAGAGTTAAGGTGGACCGTGAGCTTCGTGGAAGATCAAACCCAGCGTGGCGACGTGTGGTCAATGTCTGTCCTCCCCCCTCTGTACCATGACCGGCGCACCTAAACCACGGCGTCTCTGGATCCACCACCAGTGGCATCGCCCAGGCAGGTGGAGCAGGAGGTGCTAAGAATCACTGGGTACGATGAGGATGCCTTCTTTGTACAACACACGGACACTGTCGAGTCAACCAAACATTGTCGAATTGAAGGCAGAATTGGCAGAAACAAATTGGGACGAAGCTGGTACCAACTCGTTGGGAAGGGGAGAACTTTTGTACCTTTTAAATAGTGACAACCTTCATTGTAGAGGCAGAGCTGATCGTAGTTGTGGAGTGGGTGGGAAACGTAGTTTTAGGTTTCTGCATGAAGTTTCCCAGAACACACACGTAAGGCTCTCGAGACACTACAAGCTAAAGATTATTCAAGAATATGCTCCGACGAGCACTAAGGCACGACGAGGTTGTGGCCCACATGTTTAAAGAACTTACACAATGGAGTGCAGTGGCATCACAGGTTGTTAGAGGTGGCGGCAGTCGTGAATATCAACCGTGATCAAACATGAGCGTCACGGTGTGCGAGATGTTAACTACCTCGCCTGGTTTACAGGAGTTGATGGATTCGACCCCGACGCCTGTATATTTGGAGTGTGCATGTTCTCCCCGTGGTTGCGTAGATTTAGAGTATTTGGCCGCTTTACATTTCCACACGATACGCCGCTTGGTTGATCTATCATTTGTGATGAGGTCGCTACAGTGGGCTTTACGACGGAGGTGCAGGAACAAACGTTCGATGACGTTGAAATCGATCTGCAGACGGCGGTCTTCTCGCACGGCCAGCTCTGTGTCGCCTTATCTCGATCCCGCAATCCCAACCAGGTGAAAGTCCGCATCGAACCGAGCCCCCACATCTATAGTTAGGAGTCTGTAGTTAGTTCGTTAGTCTTCCAACGTTGCTACATCCTCTGGATAAACTTCAAAACATGCATGTTAATCATGTCCGAGATGCTCAAACATATCTTTGCAGGTCCAGGCGTGCACAGGCAGCAGATAGCTTTCCAGTTTCCCCCACACTCACAGATATATTCCCAGCCTCACTGGAAGTTGAATTAGTGTGGGCTGGAACATTTAAGTACTTTAAACTACAGGCGTTCTGGAAAACAATAGAGGCGCTTCTTCAACATAATTGCCTCACATTGTCATTTTGGCAATTGGGTCCGCGCGTGCCGGCAGTAGTTACTCTTCTTAGACGAGGCAGCCTATAAAACACACCCGATTTTACATGCGGTGTGTACATCAAGATACTGTGTGTTTGTTGTGTTTACTTTAGCAGACGGGGACGAATGTTGCGTTTGTTCTTGTCTGCCATGAGCTCATGATAATTGCAATGATTTCATTACCTTATATTTATCGCCTGAGCACAATCTAATGCACTCAATCTCAACGTCTTTTTTTATCCTGACATGGTGTGTGATTTTACATAAAATATACAGCATGATAATTCAGTGTGTTGGATTCCGCATGCACATATATTTTTTTTAAGTATTACCTTTCAAGATCAAGAGGCCATCAAACATTGCTCTTAAAAGGTGAAACTATCTGGGTTTAGGTTACTCCCGTGCTCTCTGACCTTCACTCTAATGCCCGTCTTAATAGCTTTCCCTCCTCATCCATAATTCATCACAACCTCCTCAACCACCTCTTCCTCATTACACAGACGGTGTATTCCGAACGCCCAAGTTGTTCACCCCCCTTTAGTCGCCATCGTTATCAGCCCCCTTGTCTATCCACGACTGAACGAAGAGCGTCCCCGCGCCGTTGCCAGCCCGTCGTGGTAACTACGATGCCACGATCCGTCTTGCTCCAGCGCGCGGGGATGGTCTCGTCGCTTCATCCGGACGGGTGGTCATCCCTCTTGTGGGCGTGCGCACTCCTTCGGTTGCCCTTTCGGTTGCCACCGGTGTTTTGTTCACCGGGCCGTCACCCCATTCACGCGGTGCGTCGTTCTCTCCAAGCTTAGTTGACCTTCTTGAACGGCCCGTGTTCTTTGTGTGCTATGTTTCTCCACGTGTTAGTCCACCCCTCAGTGTAATGCCACACGCGCATGGTTCTTTACGCACGTTTCAGCTTACGTTTTTTTTTTGTTATTTGCCGGGGTCCATAATTTCTGATACATGTCATAGCGAGTTGTACGCTCTAATTGGACACTATTTTTTTTATCTTCGAGTGCATTGGCAATGCGCTGCTTTTTCACCAAAGCACTTCGGCTACTCCCATTCCACTCTTTCTTCGTTCGCGTCGATCCCATTCTGCCTTCAATAATTGCCATCGGTGTATTAGTTATATAATTTCCAACTGCATCGCTCCAACTAGATTCATTTCATTTAACTAACTCGCACACGAGTTGTGTTTTATGCATATCGATGTTGAGCCCTGTGAAACTGTTAGGAACCAAATGAGAACAATAAGAATAATAATCAGAGAACGCTTTGCCAGAGTGATTGATGATGTCATCACCGTAAATACAGTGTGTTCTCCTGTTATAACGCGTGTTTTCATTACTGCGAAAGGTATAGAAACGCGATCGATGTATTAGAGAACACCTCTTTAATATTTTTTTCAACGCGGACGCGCATTGGATATAACGCGATTGAGTGAACAGAACTACGTCGCCCGAGTAGAGAAACGCAGTCGCACGGCTGCCTCGGCGTAGCATCGCACGAGGCGGGATGCTGCTGGATGCTTCTAGACGCTACCCACGTGCCTCAGTCTTTGTTCAGCCTGCGTACGCATCTCCGCGTGTTATCGCGGACTGTTGTTATATATTATTTAGTATAACGCGATTCTTGCATAACTGGGTGTTCTTCGGGAACGCAACGTTACTTAGGAGAACAGACTGCATTGTAAGCATGAGAGCATCAAAAAGGACCATGGTGATTGGTAAATCACAAATAATAGCCCTAAGAGACGAAAGGAACCATTATGCATAATAAAGAATCATAATAATAGCGGAGGCCTATATAAGCAGAGCTCTAGAGCAAAATAATGAACGGACTGAAGGTGTGATTTGATTGGTCGAACGGGGGGAGGATTTCCCTGTGTCTAGCTTTTTTTAAATTAATCCCCAGGATTGCACGTTTGTTATCTTCAGTGGCGACAAATGTATTCTCCTCAGATAAACTAAATAAATAACGACATTTACTCTGCCAGGATTGAGCCTGGTAATTACTTGAATGGGAGACTGATGGGAATAGCATGCTGGCTGCAAGGCGGTACGCCTTCGCCACAGGAAACACCACATTTTTGAGATGAACACGATGTTCCAATGTCACACCTGAAGAAGTTAACCAAATGCCTTTTGCAACACTAACAAGGAAACGTTTCCAGGCCAGACCAGAAAATCCACAAAAAAAGCTATGGAGCGAATTCAACAGAAAACAGCCGTATAATAATAATTAAAAACACAAATAATAGCAATACTCATTATGTGCCGTCGTGGAAGATTATGAGTAAAAATGCATTCTATAAATGCAGTCCTTGGGTTTTTTTTTGTCCGTTCACCAATGTGCCCATAGGTCTAGGAACAAAAAAAAAGATAACATTTGACGTGGAGAGCGAGACTTTGTGAACGTGTTACCCATCGCCGTGCACACAGGATGGCGGTGGAGGGTTGGGGGAGCAGCAATTTATTGAGACAGGTGTTGGAATAGTCTCCACGGGCCCGATGACCACGGGGGAGGCTGAAGAGCAGACAGTGGGAGACCTTGGAAGTCGCGTGCCTACTGTGTAGCAGGTGCAGGATTCTGGTGGAGGATAGAAATCATTGGCAAAGAGGGGGGGAGGGGGGGTATCAACGACTTTGGCCATGAGGACACCATCATCGTGTTACCCATCATCCACAGTGGTGCATAATGAGTGCTCGTACGTCGAACGTCAACTGGTGTCTCGCATTGTTCGCACTTGGCTGCGTCGGATATGAGCGGGGTAAAAAAAAAATGTCACAGCTATCAGAGGGGATAAAGCAGCCGTGCAGTTCACCGCGGTGCTGATGATTAAATCTCGATATTGCCATCTACTTCTCTGCATACCCATGCTACAGCTTTCTCTGTGTGTGTGTGTGCGCTTTGGATTGCCCATTGGTCCTTGTCGGATTTCATCGAATTCCATCTTAATGGCCTTGCTTAACAATCCAGAGGTTCACTTTCCTTATAACATCCTCAGGCTAATCCGTGCAGAGGCATGGCAAATGTTTACGATTGTACAGCACACAGACGTTGAGCGACTTGACCTCCCTTGCTCTTATAAAGGAAATATGGCATTCAGACCATCTAAGCTGCAATTATTGATTTATTTCTGATGGCATCAACCAGCTTCCTCCTTCGTGCATGATTTGACCATTAGTTACACACTCGATGTTTTGAAAGCAATCTTGAACATATGACAGCGTGACGAAAGGCGTGGTTTTATTTACTATTTACAGCCCATATTCAGCTAAACTCTTCTGACATATAAATTATATTCTGTAGGGGGTGGGGGGTGATTGAATCCACGACAGTAATTTGTAATCTATGGCATGATCTCATTCCAGTCTATACATATATATTGCACAATATTTTACCAAAGGAGAGAAATCAAGCCAGTAATTTTCCTACACCGATTATTTCCTGCATATATAAAAAAAATAGTTGGGTTTAGGTGAACTGTTGAATCTGGTGCTTCACTGTCACTTCGACCTCGAGTTGCCCGGTCACATTCGTTTTTCTCGTTCTGTCTTTGGCACTCCCCACTGCTTTTGCCTTCAAGTCTCTCATCACAAGTCATCCGTGACGTTGGGCGTCATATCCAACACCCCTACAGCTTATTACAGATTTCCTCAACGACATAAACGTTTTATATCTCCTGTTGTATATCCGCAACGACTACTGATTAAGCTAACATGCCTTAAAAGTGCTTACACTTTATTCAATCAAAACGTTATTTATTTAAAGGGGTCTTCCTTAAAACCAAGGCCCCTCTACATAAACGATTCACCATTAAAACGATTCAATGGAAATAATCATTAGGTTAATCTACGACAATAAATTCTGTCACACTAATAAAAAAAAATTCATGCGTAAATGCCACGCGACGAGGGACTTTCACAGTGTTGTAGGAGCCGTGTAAGCAAAGGAATGGCCTCAGATGTTTGTAGTCACACCCTGGGGATGTTTATCAATCCCTCAAAGTAACCTCGAAACTAAACTATAAACTTATTCTTAGCTCTTTCGGTAAAGTCACGTTGAAGGGAAACAATTAAATAATATATATATAAAACAATAAAAATTCTCACGACGTTTCGACCATAACACAAACGGTCATCAGGTGTGTTTTTTATATATTTTATTATTTTATTGTTTCCCTTCAACGTGACTTTACCGAAAGAGCTAAGAATATGAATTACTGCAGTCACGAAAGCTTTAAATGAAAATTTAAACTATAAACTGTTTTTTTTATTTTACCAGGTAAGGCCCACTAAGCTTTATAGTATTTTTTCCGAAGCGACCTGGCCACAAATGATAGCTCAAAGAAGTGGCTTATCACGTGGAAATGTATAGGAGCCAAATACTCTAAACGCACATTTGTAAATGTGGAGGAAAAACCCAGAGGACCTGGAACAAAAATCCACGTAAACCACGGGAAGATCATGAAAACTCCAAATATACAGGTGTCAGGGTCAGGATCAAATCCACGACCTCCTGCATACCGGCGAGATAGTTAACGTCTCGCCACCATGGCACCCGACATTCTTAGAGGGGGCCGTATAGAAGCCGGACGTGATGGTGACAACCTGATGGCCCAACCAAAACAACTCACCCACTTACAGAAACTTGGTAAGATACTTGGATCGCTCTCTGCCCAAAATGGGGAGTTGAATTGTTGGAAACTAAGCAAGTAGTGACAGCCAGTGGCTCAAATCTTTGATGGCAGGTGCCGGCACAACAGTAATGGGGAAAAGGGTGAGGTTGGCACCATGTCCAGATTGTTAAAATATAGAGCGACAACTCTGGCTGTTTCGCTCTGTAGGTTTCCGCTGTTTTTGCATTTCACCGCTGACGTATATTTGGGTTGCGCTGCATGCTTGTTACACATGATGTCCGATGTTTTACTCCACAATCCTGAAGAAGTTCCCAGCATGTGGGGCGAAACGTCAGACATGCCAAACAAGTAGCAGTAAAACCCCAAAACACATTATAAAGCTATGAAATACTGTAATTTGCTGTCATGTATATATGCTGAACTTCTTTCGCACCGTGCATAGCCAACGGTGCTAATGGGAGTTGCAGGGAAAGACAACTAACTTAACACAAAGAGCACTTTTAAAGAAATTAGTGATATCTGGTCAACAAAATAAAACGTGAAATGAAGTTCCAGTTCCTCCTTAATGCCACGGTAGTCCATAGTTGTGCATGGCCTACAGATGAGGGTACAATTCTAATCAACAATTAAAAAAAAAATCCAAAAGTAGACATCACATTTCTATTTAATTTGTATTCCCCTGAGCTAATCTCCTTTGTGTAATGCAATGATGACTAGTCATGTAATTAATCATCTCCTCCATGGTTCAATAAATTGCCACGACTCAGGGTTATGATTCAATTTGAGAGTCAAATCAATTTGTATACTTTATATTTTCATCACTTGTTGCTGTCTCATATATAGTTTATCTTTCACTTAATTTCACTGCATTAACATGCAATTTGCATCCTTTGTACAGAGTTAATTGGCAAATGATTCGATGCGCGTATTGTGAGTGAACAATTTGCGTTTAATCGATTAATCCATGACTCTTCACATGAATAACGATTGGTCACGCTGATATTTGTGGTGCTATTGGCCGTTGTGAGGCCCTGTAGTCATCGTCTCTACGAGTTGACTCTGCACTCGGATTCCCAAAGGCTTAGTTTCTTTACCATCCCTATCACAGCATTGTATGCTCACTTACAATGTTGTCCACATTCCTCCGTGATGATTTGAATTCGGGAGGTGAATTGAATAATTAAAATAAAGCATGCACCAACTGTAGCTAAACTGGGATAGTCTGACGATATCATGCAATGTGGTCAATGCAGGGGACCTGAAATTGCACTCCAAAACTCACGCGTTGAGCCTGAAAAAAGTGCCCTTGCAGTGCCACAATGTGTAACGACTAACATTTCCTGACATGAGAAAAGTTAAGTTCAAAGTAAAGTGCATACTCAGAAGAGTCCCCTTTCTCCAATGCAGAATTTTTAGGTCTGAAAGGTCTCTGTGTGTGTCTCTCTGGCTTCGTCCATTCTAACTCCAGCCTACTGGGTACCAGGAAACACGAATACACCGCTCAATAGCATTCCAAGTCCAAAACTGCCATGTTACCTTGGATCCCCCAGTGAACTGCCTTTGATATGTTTGTTGAGACTGCAGTATGCTTCATGAATTGCAATGAAAAAATCATTCCTTTGTTTACTAATTGAGTAATTTAAATAGGCGAATGCATTTCAATCGCTCTTTCACACTGTTGGACATGGCACCGCTATTCATCCCACAGAGACGACTGGCATGGACAGAGAGCTGCTCTTTTATTTAGAATACTATTTAGAATAAAAGAACAGAAACAGCATAGAGAGGAATGACTTTCTTTGTCCGTGCGAAGTCAAGCTTTGCACGGTTGATAAATCAAAGGAAGCGTGAGAACATTTCGCGAGCCAGCTGAATGTCCCATTTCCAAAAAAAAAATGTTAACTACGTCTTGCCCGTGACAAAAAAAAAATCCAACGGATCGTCTCCGTGACATGACAATGTCCAATGTCGTGCCTTAACCCCGAAAGGTATTCGCCGTGAACCTCAGATTACAACAAGAGGTGATCGCCGATAAGCACAACTGACATGCGGTTGTTGTTTGATGGAGACAAGATGGAGGCGTACAGTTCCCGCAAACTCTTTTGTCATAACCCCATTGTCGTCTGATCTCTTATCGCAAGGCAGCTGTCAGTTTTATCGTCCGCTTCCGACCGTGCCTCTTTATATGCCTGTGTCCGCAAATGTTTCCCACACGTACAGAGCGGCGAGTAGTTTTGCATCTCTATGGGCCTGTTCAGATTCTCCTCACCTAACTGCATGAATTTGTGTTCACAGCAACACTCCATTTGGATACGCACCAAAACACTCATAGGAGCTATTATTTTGTTGTTGTTAATGTTGTGGTTCCCGCTGATTACCCCTATTTTTATTCATCGCTCACCTTCCAATTTCCACAGGTTATTTCAGCATTTTTTTTGTAACAGGATATGCCTTTTAATTGGAACGCACAAAATGTTCTAAACGTAGTGGAATTTAAATAGAAATACACACGCGCGCACGTGCACACGCTATCACGACTTGCAATCGTGACATCAGAAATGCATTCATTGTTAAGTATGTGCTGCTTGCAATAACTGCATCGAGGGATTTATTTACGCTCGGCCAAAAAAAATCACTGGAAATTATTTTGCACGTTGCAACACATTCTTTACGATGTAAAAATAATGCGTTAGTTTCAACCCAGGTGAATTATTTTTTTAAGTCAACGTGGTTTCCTGTTCAATGAGCATCGAGGCAGTTTCAGCTTGTCTTATTTACAGTTTACAGTGACCATCCGCTTGGTGGTTATTTTACATTCCTTTGGCAGGGGCGGATAAATAAAAAAAGCAACCGCTGTTGACTTCCACGAAAAGCAGTACTCATTCTAGTGACCCTAGAGCAGTGGTTCTCAGGGTGCGGTCCCCGGGACCACCGGTGTTGGTCCGCA